GCCCGACTTTACAGTCGTCCGTATGGCAGGAATACACTCTGTTATGCTGCTGGAGCGGGTGGAGGGATACAAGTCCCACGCGCCCTGTGCCGTCTCCTGATCATGTATTCAATCGCTCAGGGACCTCTCGCAGCGGCAATGGAGAGGGAAGCTCTGTGCCATCGAGCAGGACGGAATGAGGGGCGACAGATGTGCGCACGCATATCTGGCCCGCATAGGCAGACAGCGCAAAAAGCCGCAATATATGACGGCACACGAGCTCGTGTACTTATGTGCCGGCCCTATAGACTGGCCAGGCTTCGCAGTCGCGCGCAGGCAGGAACGCACGGGAGGACTGGATGTCATAGAAAGCACAGAAGACGCACTCACCCATATCGCAACAGCGGCGGGTCCCGCATCTCGTCTGGCGTACTCATGCAGCGACGGCGCTGCGGGCGCGGCGCGCACCGGGAGCGCGGGCGCGAGTGCGAGCAGCGCGAGAGCACATCTCGCGGCCTGGCAGCGCGGGCACCACCGTGCGGGCGCATTCGACATGGCCGGCGAGGGAAAGCAGGAGCAGAGACGGCAGGGAGCCTGGGGCAGCGTGAGTGTGAGTATGAGCCAGCGTAGGGAGCGCGCTAGGCTGGGAAGACGCGCGATTCGCGAGCAGCTGCCTGATATGTGCCGCTGGCGCAGGCTGCTGGAGATAGAGGCGAGCGCGGCAGGGTGTCTAAGAGGAAGGTGATATACAGTGGTAGAGCACCGCGGCGGAGTAGGAGTACAGGGTCGGAAACAGGTTTCCGTGCGACCCGGGGACAGGAGGTCCCGCTTTATGGGAGGCCCGTGGACCAGGCGCCCATTGAAGAAGATGCATCCGGACCTGCCCCGCCCTCAATTCCACCACTGAGGACACTCAGGTACTACTACTCATTCGCAGTGCTGAACGCCGTACTCGAAGCACTCGACACTGCAGTCAACAGCCTTTCCTGCTGCCCATCCTGGCCCAAGAGTGTGATCACGGCACGCGCCCTCGGCGTCGGCCGGCCGCGCAGCAGGCAATTTGTCAGGCACCACGGCAGACATTACACAAAAGTGGAAAACATCTGAGCACACCCCACAGTGATGCGACGAATGGCGTCGACTGTCCAGCGTCCCAGTATAGCCGATTTCACGAAAAATGTCGCGCGCGTCCAACACAGTTGAGCGACCTCCCACTAAGAACACGAATATCTCGACAAATACTGAGTGTATCGTCTTCGTTTCCGCTGCGTTGCATGCCAACATTGAAATTCCAACATCTTTGGTCGGATGGCGCAGCGCATCGGGTCACCAGCCCATCTCGTAGGCGCCCGCCTGCGATCGATCGACTTGCCGAGCTCTCTCCTGTGCGCCCGCCCACAACGCCCTCCGTCGCGCCGCTGTTTCTCAGCACTGACACGCCGCGCGCGATACACTCTACCACGGTATATACTGGCTTCCTTTCATGCGTCGCTCGTCGTCCCGCCCCCCTTTCCACCTCGTCCTTCCACGCCCCGCAGCGTTCGCCCCCGCCTGCCCGCTCCCGCTCCCGCCCGCAAGTCCCGTTGCCGTGGCGCTGGGTGAGCCCCAAGCCCATCATCGCGCGCGGAAGCCTCGACCACGCCATTGTCAGTGCCCCACGCGTCGACGGTCAGCTGGAACCCCACAACCATCCTGCATGGCTGCTCGTGGGACGACCGGTCGACGTGACACGGTGCGAGCACAAGTGGAGGAACAGTCGCGCGTCAGCACACGACGACGACCTGACGCGCGCAAGATCACGCACCCGCTGTGGCACAAGATGGCACCCATCCCACGCGCACGCTAGCCGGGGCGCATGGGGCGCATCATTGGTGAGTGATACGCCCACCCATGGCGTGCTGCCCACGGCGCCCACACGCACGCCTGGTCAGGTTTCCAACGACTCGCGCGCGCGTGTACAGACTTCCTGCATCAGCGTCCCCCCTCACTTCGGACTCGTGCAGCCGCAGCCGCGCCAATCGCAGCCGCCTTCGCCTCCGCTTCTTGCGTATTCCAGCCCGGTCAGTCCGCAACTCACAGCCCACGCACGCCCGCATCCGTATCCCGCCGCGCCGCTGCCCGGGTGCACCATCTCACACCGCCAAGACAGAGACAACGGACATAGCGGCTGCTGGAGCGCGTCGAGTGCAGCGCGGGCGGTCTCGGCGACAGCCTCTACCGGCCGCGCGCGGAGGACGCGCACTACGACACGCGGGACGAGCGTGTCACACAGGGCGTCGAGCACGGCGCATGCAAGCCAGACCGCGGCTTCTGATGAGACCCGGTTGCGGACGAGCACGGCAGCGGGACGTCCAGGACCGCGCCGCGCCAGACGTTCCCGCACCACGGCAGCATCAACGGCCGCCTCACGTCCCAAGGCTGCCACTCAGGACGTCGACACAGCGCTCCTGCTGCTCGCGGAGCCATGCACCGGTACGTTTCTCCCGTCGTGCACCGCGTCTGTCCCCTCGGCCGCCCGCGCCATCAGCCCAAGGTGCGCCCGCTCACGGCCCGCGAGCCCGTCGTCTGCGCACGCCGCCGCCGCAGTTGCGCCCGCCTCGTGTCAGGCTATCGTGCTCACTTGCGCCAAGCCCGTGCAACTGCGCCGCCCATCGCACGCCGCCCGCGCGCCCGCCGGCAGCATCTTCCGCCATCATACCGCAGCACTATCCCACCTAAGCACGTTCATATATACTCCTGCTCACACGCGCATCGGCACAGCTAACGACATACGACACAGACGCATAGTACCTCTACGCAACGCTCGCCGCCGTGTACACCTCCGTTCCCCCAGCACTCCGCCCATCCCGCCCCCGTCCGCGCCCGCGCCTGCATCCACCAACTGTCAACCTCGCACGCCGTAAGTACACCATCAATCAAACCAGCGTCGACCAGCGAACGCGCTCACCTCTGTGGTTCTTCACGCCTCTCCAGGGCTCTCCAACAATGGCCACCATACCTGCAACGTGCACAAGCGTCAGTACAGGCACCATCGAGACACACAGCGGTCAATAGCAATGGATTCGTGACTAGCGGACGACGGACCCCCTCTGTCCGCGGCCCTCCTTATATCCCTCCCGTTACCCGTTTCCTGTGCTGGAAACCCACGCACGGACGCACCCTTCCGCGCGTCGCGGCACCCGGCCCTGCCGCGTGCGTGACGCAGCCGCTCGCGTAGCCTTCCGCAACATCCGAGCGACGCGCATCTCCGCCGGGGCGCGCGCGCCTGGGCTTCTCGCGTGTCGCCGCGGCGTCTTGCCCCATCGGACCAGGTGGGCAACGGCAGGACGCGCGCGCACGCCTGCCCGCTGCTAATTCTGTATTCCCTACGCGCGACGCGGGCAGTCGTCTGCCTGGCAACCCACCCGCAGGGCAGCACGCGGGCCCGCGTCGCTCCCGCGAACGGGACATTGTGCCCGCGCGCGGCGTTGGGACGGTGCCAAGACGGCAGGCGCGCTGGTCGCGGTCGGCACGGGGACATCTGATGGCGTGGTCCGACAGCGCGCCGCCCCGGTCATGGCGGGGCACCACGACGAACATGCAGAATGACCGGGGTCGCGCGCGTCGTCCCCTTGCTTGGCAGACGGACACGGTGTGTGCACACGCTCCCTGGCTCGCCCAGACACCTCGCCCGTCGTCTGCTGCTTACACTGCGCGGCGGAGCAGCACCGCCTATCTGCACGCGACCGCACGCGGGTGCTCACAACGCGCACCCCGCCCACATCGACGCTCTGACACCCAGTCCGGTCGCGACGCCGGCAGACTGCGGCCAGTGCGGCAAAGACGAGCGCGATAGGTGAGAGGACACCCGGCGTGCGTCGCGTGTTGCGGTGCGTCGTTGTGCGACGACCGCGCGTCTGAACGGCCCGCCCAGCTCCCGATGGTGGCGTATGCCATCACGGCAAGCGCGGCATTCCACTGTGCCCACACGCAGTCTCGTAGCAGACGGATGGCGCGCTGTCGCTGGTCCCTCCGGTCTCCCGCAGCCCGGTCACTCCACCGCAGCCCGGTCACTCTACCGCAGCCCGGTCATCCGCCGTCCTCTCCCGACTTAGTGCACCGCATCCGCGTCATGCAACACGAGAAGGACAGCGTCGCGCACGCTTCATGGCCCGCACGCTGCCCATCCGGATCGCTCACCGTACAACGCGCTCCGGTCGCGCGATACGCAATACGCACAGTGTGCAGCGAACGACCCACGGCGGGCTCATAGGCCAATCACGCGTCACTCGGACATCGCACACCGCGCGCCGCACGCCCCACGCGGAAAAAGGCAGCAGACGCGCGGCGCGCGGAGACGGTCCGCGTCTCCCTCGCTACATCGCTAATCAACCCAGGCCTTGCATTGTCGGCGCGCGGAGATCGGAGTGGCCCGCATGATGGTAAATCTCGCCTCTCATGCTCTTGATCCGACGCTTGACCACAAGAACGGGACTCAGGTTGCACTCCCCGCGGCGGCATTGGTAGTGGTAGGTTCTGGAGACGGTCAGCGCACTGTCCCGCTGTGAGGCACGGACGACGCGCGAGAATGCAAACACCCCGCGCTCGCCAGGGTTCGCGCACTGTCCCACCAGACGACCCGCCGCGCAACGCGCTCCGGCGCCCAGTGACGCGCCGATTGGCTCACGCTGCACGCCGCACGCCGCGGCGCGGAAAAGGCAACCGGACGTGCGACGCGCGGAGACGGCTCACGTCTCCCTCACGACATCGCTAATTAACCAAGGGCCTGCCCCCGGCACTTGCGTCATCGGCGTGCGGAGATCTGAGAGGCGCGCATGTCGCAGCGGCAGCGTCGTGCCCCCGCCGCAGAATGTACTACAGAGTACACTACGTATGGTAAATGCTCTATGACCAATGCCTGACGCTCCCCGCAGCGGCGTTGGCAGGGGCAGGTTCTAGAGGTGGTCAGGGTGCTGGCCCGCTGCGAGGCACGGACGACGTACCAGAGTGCAAATACCGCGCGCGGCACGCAACTCGAAAAAGACACGGTGTTGCGCACGCATCAGAGCTTGCGTGCCGCCCGCCCGGATCACCCGCCGTGCATTATCCAAAATATGTTGCTGAAGGCCCACGGCGGACCCACAGATCCATAACGCACCGCTCGGTCGTCGCACGCCGCACACCCTTGCACAAGTCGCGCCCGGAAAAAGCCATCAGACGCGCGACGCGCTACATCGCTAATCAACCGGGAGCTTGCACCGTCGGCGCGCGGAGATCTCAGCGGCACGCGTGTGATACAGAATATGTTACGTATGGTAAGCCCCGCCCCGCAAGCTCTGTACCCGCCGACTGACACTCCCCGCGGCAGCAGGAAACAGGGGTATGTTTTGGAGGCGGTCAGTGTGCTGGTCCGCTGCAAAGCATGGGCGACAGACGACGCACCAGAGTGGAAACACCGAACGCGACACGCAACGCGAGAAGGGCACGGTGTCGCGCACGCTCGCGCGCTGCCTGCCGTGCAATGCGCTGCGGTGCCGCGCAATACCCACGGCAGACTTGCAGGTCAATACTCAACTGTTCGCACGCCACGCGCCGCACGTCCCTGCTTAGGCCCCGCACGGAAAACGTCACCAGACGCGGGACGCGCGAGAACGGCCCGCGTCTCCATTGCTGCACCGCCCATCAATCGACGGTTCGTATTGTCGGTGCGCGAAGGTTTGAACGGCCTGCGTGTTCGCGGCGGCAGTGTCGTGCAGTCAGAGCCAGGGCGAAGACGGGAGGCCCGCCGGTTGCGGACACCCCGGCCACAGAATGTATTGCAGATGACGCTACACACGGCAAGTCCCGCCCTGCATTCTCTGTACCCAAAGCCTGACACTCCTTGCGGCGGCGTGGACAAGGGTAGGGTCTGGAGGTGGTCAGTACGCTGGCCCGCTGCGAGACACAGATAACGCACCAGAACGCAAATAACAGGCTGCCCTGCGCATCACGCAACTCGGGCCGGGAATGAGATGGGATACGTACGCAAGCGCAATGCCAGAAGACGGGCAACTGACCGCGGCCTTGCATGTTGTTGCATGCGCCTCTACGACGCACACCGGTTGGTGCGCGTGGTGTTGTGGCTAGATGTCATCCTGAGGCAATGTGGCCAGTCGGCTTGGGTGGTGGCGCGCGCGGAAGAACAGCAGGTGTGCGGACTAATTCAAGGTCAAGATGCGCTTGCATGGACATGTCTTGTCAGACGCCTGATGAGACGACGCGCGGCCGAGCGATCATCGTGGCGTAGCAACAACGGAGCGCCCTCAGCGCGTCAAAGATGCATTCGATCCAGTGCCTGGGTGAGTCTTCCTTCGGCATCTCGGTCTCCGTCATGCTGCCGCAGAAATGCCACAGTCAGGAGACGAGCACAACCTGCCTGGCTGCACTGTCCGCCCGCGGGTGAGGCGGCACGTTAACGAGACAAAATTACATGTGTTGCGTTGACAAGAGGCCTTATGCACGGATTATGTCCCGGCGCATCTGCGAGATGTTGATTACAATATGTCAATATATATTTTGGCCAAAGAGACAGAGAATGAAGTGACCGGCAATTGAGGCAGCTGACCGTGGGCTCTCTGCACACGGTCACTGCATCGCAAACACTGGAAAATGACATGTGGCGGAGAAGCTGATGCAAGCAAAACAAGTCGACGGGGGCGTGTGATGTGCAACTATTGTCCGATCAAAGACAAATTGCGCGCCTAGTAGCAAGCGGAAGAAATACGCCAATGCGCGGACATTCTCCGGGTGGACCTGTTTCACTGGCGGTGATGTGCGGGCCAATGCGCAGATGTTGACGGAATACTCAAATCTATCGAACAAAGCATTTGTTGAGGAGAGCAATAGACAAGAAACGGACATTGAAACATGAGCGCATGAGCACTCTCACGTAAATCTAAACACGAAAATACACAACAGGTCGTTGCCCACGCTGTGCGCATTATGTTCAACCACTTCCCGTGTGGTGAGTATTGCGCTCGCTTTCACATTCCGGGGCCCCACAACTGCCCGTGCGGGGATTGAAGACTCGGCACCATATCCTGTTCCGGTGACCATTCTGGACAAAAGCGCTGGAGGGAGCCTTGCTCGCGCTCCCTCATTTGATCCGAAACATTTTCTTTCTGGGCACACAAACATGTACAAATTTGTCGCAACCATCACCGCCGGTCATATATATTTGCATCCAATCACCTGCAGGTGTTGTAACTACGCTGTCCTTATGCTCGTAGGTGCTGCTGCCTTTTACACACTCTACCGACCGTACTCCGACTGTCAGGCTCCTACACAAGCAGTTGCTCATTGAGAGGTTAGTGTCAGCAATTGACAGTACTCGTGCCTGTGCCTGTTTACTGTAGCCTGTTGACCGGGATGGATTATTGCTGACCGGCACAGTAGATATTGAGTGGGGATGCTCACCCTGCATGAACACCAGCGCGCGCGAGACAGAGGACGGCAAAGAATTGGCGTCCGGCGAGAACATTGGCGGGAGCGAGTGTTGAAGCAAGTGTTGCGAGCGTGCGCGAAGGGCAGAGGAGCGAGTGTCGCGGGAGAAGGTCGATATACGAAGGAATTTGTCTCGTCCTCGGGGCGGGGAGGCAAACACGCGAGGTACGTCGATACAGATGAAACCTTATTTATCTAACACTACGTCGGCCAATCAGGCTTCGCCCGTCCCGGAAACCAGTTGCTCCAACGAGGGCAGGCACCGAATCTGGGAGCGGAGCATGTGAGTGCGCTTGACGACGGGGCAGGGTGCACTGTACGCACCGAGTCGACGATGCCGGGTGCGAGACGGGCTCTGACGAGGAAGAGGGCTGTTCGTTGCGTGAGTGCAAAAGACAACAGGGAGACAACAGGGAGAGGCAACTCTCGATCTTACGACAGTCACGACGGTGGTGGACTTGTACAAAATATATTTCATAGACCATCGCACATCCACCCAGACCTGCGCCACGCTGCTCTTCCTGCTCGCCCGGCTCCTTCATGTACAGCGGCAGCGACCGCGTCGAGCGCATCGATGCCGTCGCGCTGCCCGGGCCCCTCCGGCGGCGCCCCGGTATCGCGCCCCCGGCAAGCTGCTCGGCGGTGAGCTCGCGCGGCTGCTGGCCTGCGCCGCGCACCATCACCGGGCGCGAGCTCCACGTCCGCAGGCGGGTCGCGAGCGTCGGCGCGCTCGTTGTTGTTGTTTGTGCCTGGGCAGTGCGGGTTGCTGTCGTTGGCTGGGGGCGTGGATGGTGGAGGCGGTAGTAGATCGCAGAGCCCGCTATGACCACGACGATGGCGCCCAGAATCGGGATCTGGACGGAGGCCGTTAGTACGACGGTGGAGCACGAGGATATTGGACATTTGGAGAGGAAGTGGATTTCAAATGTGCTCAAGTATGACAGAAATGCCAAAGCTCCGACCAGAAAACTACGGCTTCCTTCCAGCCAAAGCGAGTCATCGTCCCCTCAACCACAATCATATTCATTAGCCCCATCAGGCAAGGCGGCGTGATACCCTGACCTGTAATTCTCCTGCTCCGCAGAGGGAGATGCTGCCTACATAACTCGACGAACCCTGCGCGCAGATGCCCTGCCAAGCCGTCTGCGTGCAAGTTTGTGGCTCGTGCACGGTATGCCGCAGGGACGGACGTCCCACGTATCCTCCGTCGACTCCACATAGCGAGTTGATCGCTCAGAAGGGACGCTCGCGTAGCGCGCTCCGGACGTCCACTAAGAGGGAGGCCGCACGCTGGTCCATTCGACTCCTCCCCAGCGCAACCAAGCCTGCTACGCGAAAGACGACTCGAAAACACCGCATGTCATCGTCGCACCTGCCACTGACGGGAAATCGGCGCAGACGGCTGGGTTGCGTGCACACTATTACGCCGCTGGAGATGGACGTCCCACGCGCCCTCTGTTGTCTCCAAACCATGGATTCACTCGCTCAGGGACCTCTGGCAGCGACAATGAATGGGAAGCCTCGGTGCAACCGAGCAGGACG